CTAAATGTGTGGAATTAATCGATCAGCCTGATTTGAATATTATTTCTAATTATTTCATGGCATTGTACAATATATTAAGTTTTTTTAAAACTTATACCATACTCAAATTAATCAACTTCCTGTTACAGTACTGTGCTTGTAAAAAAACATTTGCAATCACCTATTTACTTCATACTCTGGAGCCATGTAAATTAAAGCTTTGTTAAATAAGAAAAAATACATTTTCATTTTAAAACAACTATTCTTTAATATATACCAGATTTCATTATTTTAATAACATTACAAATGTTTACTAACATATACTATGAAATGGTTCCGTACGTTGAGGTTTGTTTTAACAGTCTCCTAAAGGAAGTGGCAGCAGTCCCATTTCTGGAGTCTTTCAAATTTATAATGAAAAAAGAAAAAAAAAAAAAAAGCAATCCTAACCACCTTGGGGATGTCAGGATGACAAAATTACCAAATAGGTATTTTCCATATTTCCAGGTAGTGGTTGATGTTTCTCTAACAGAGGTGAACAGAACTATATAAAGAATAAAAAGTGTACACTCGAGAACACTATATTATTACAAGCTAAAAATACTATTATTTTATTATTTAACATTTACACTGCAGTAGTGCCTAAAGGCAACTACCAGATTTGACCCCCCCATATATGATGATAAATTATTTTCTAAACAAATAATTCTACTAAATATAAACTACACTTCTGCAAACTTTTAGCCATAAATTTTCTATAGACATTTTAATTATACTTTCAGGGTGAAAACTTGGTTTCATTGAAATGGTAAAACTCCCATTGACTTCAATGGGGCCAAGATTTCACTCTGTTTTTATTATTAACTAGAAATTTCAATTTGAGAAGACAGCGATTTCTTTATACTAAATATCATCTACACAAATTGCTAAAAATTTAAAACAAAGAGGGCCTGACTCTGCACATCACTGCCTAATATGCTGACCAATATTGTCTCATTGTTTCCTTGTACTCTCCTGTCTGCCTATACCCATAGTTATGCTCTGTTTTATACTTCGATTGTAAGTTCATTGGGGCAGGAACTGTCTTTTTGTTCTGTGTTTATGCCTAGCAAAATGGGATCTCAGTCCACAACTGGGCTTCTATGCAGTATAATCATACAAATAACAAACAACAACATATGCAGGCCAATCCCATCAACTTTACTAGAAGTTCGGCGTAGATAAGGCCACAAGGTTGAAATCTTGGCCACACTAATGTCAATAGTAAAGCTCCCACTGACTTCAGTGGGGCCATGATTTAAGTCCAAGTGTTCAAAAATTAATCGAAAATGGTGACCGTAGTAATGTGGTGGGATTTTCTGGGTCCCAACTGGCTACCACATCATTAAAATAATAGCATTGTAAAGAAATATAACATTGTCCAAATGTAGTTGAAAGTCACTATACTAGAACAAAAAGAACAGGAGTACTTGTGGCACCTTAGGGCTGGTCTACACCCAGCCGCTAGTTCGGCGGCTGGGGATCGAAGTTCTGGGTTCGACTTATCGCGTCTGGTCTGGACGCGATAAGTCGAACCAGGAAGTGCTCGCCGTCGACTGCGGTACTCCAGCTCGGCGAGAGGAGTACCGCGGAGTCGACGGGGAGCCTGCCTGCCGCGTGTGGACTGCGTCTGAACCGCGGTAAGTTCGAACTAAGGTATGTCGACTTCAGCTACGTTATTCACGTAGCTGAAGTTGCGTACCTTAGTTCGACTTGGGGGGTTAGTGTAGACCAGGCCTTAGAGACTAACAAATTTATTTGAGGATAAGCTTTCGTGGGACAGTCTCCTGATGCCAAAGCAAAACTAAGACTTATTTTCAAAGCATGAGACATTGACAACATTCAGTTACAGTGACTCTGTGATTAAAGGAAACCAACCATGTCAATTTCAGCTGTAGTCAAATCACAAGGGAAAAAGTGCCAAACAAAAAAGGACTAACTGGTGAGAAAAAATATTTTACTTGTGTGTTTCTCAGAGGATTAAAAACAATAACGAGAAAAACATTTAAAAAGCAATTAAATAATTTGACAGTTTTTTCAAATATCTGATTGCAGGGTAGGTTAATTAATTTAAATCAGTTGTTTGAATCAAAATTAAAAATCCTTCTTTAAAGCATTTTAATCATTTTTTTCTTTTCTAAACTATTTTACTAAAGAATTCTTCATTTTCATTGGCTGGTATATGAACCAAAAATATACCTTGTCAGCAGTCAGATGAGTTGTTTTAATGGGACATCAACTTTTTTAAAATAACAAAGAGAAATAAAACACACTTCTGTTTGAAGGTGTGATTGTTAATGTGCAGAAATTTAAAAGGGAATTTAGGAGCTTTTTTTTTTTTTTTTAAATGGACTAGATTTCAAGTTGACAGTGTCTTTTTAAAAGGACACTGTCAATTTAAATTTGTCCCAAAACTCTGCCAGAACAAGCTTTTACAAAACTAACACCAAAGGTATTTCCCTTATTATTAATTATTATTATTGACAATTAAAACAGGAGTGGTAAAACAAATAAGCATTCTCTTGCACTGTTTTACACCTAAATATTTCAACTATGGAAGCCTGAAGCTGACTTCATTGATTTTCACTGTCCATGCCAAAAAAATTGCAAAAAGTACAAATAAACTGAGTATAAATAATGACATATCACTAATTGAACTCAATGGGATTACACACAAGTAGTGTTACAAGCATGCATGCGTGTTACTAGTAACTATGAGCCTGATCCTACAAGCGCTACTGAACTGGATCCCAATCCTATAAACACTAACACCTGTAACTTTACTCACATAAACCAGCCAACTGAAGCCAATGGAACTACTCATGCACCAACGAGCAGTCTTTATAAATACAAACTTGATTCTCCTTTTACACTGATATACATTCACTGATTTCAAAGGAATTGCTCCTGATTTATACTGGTGTAGGTGAAAAGATAATCAGGCTCAAGCAGTCTCATTGAATTCACTGGGTCTACTTGCTTGAGTCAAGATTTCCCATGTTAGGCCCTATAAGCTTGATTCTGCAAGAGTTAAGGCATGTGAATTACATTATACATAAGCAGTCAATTCCATTTACTATTCATATGCCTAAGGCCTAGATCCTGCAAATACTTATGCAGGTGTTCAATAAAATAACTCACATCAGGGCCAGCTCCAGCGTTTTTGCCGCCCCAAGCAGCAGAAAAAAAAAGCCGCGATCGGCACTTCTACCGCCGCCGCTTCATTCTTCGGCGGCAATTCGGCGGCGGGTCCTTCCCTCCGAGAGGGACTGAGGGACCCGCCACCAAATTGCCTCCAAAGAGCCGGACGTGCCGCCCCTTTCTGTTGGATGCCCCAAGCACCTGCTTGCTGCGCTGGTGCCTGGAGCCGGCCCTGCTCACAGTGTCTAAAGTTAAAGTTAATGACTTTAGTATGTACAAATAAGCACGTAATAAGTGTTTGCAAGATCAGGACCTGCATTACAGGCTTGCCATCTCTCATGATTTTATTGCACGTCCCACAATATTTGGTATTTTTCTTAAAGCCCCGCCTCCTGAAGTCATGTGATTACACAAAAATCTCCGTTTTCTTCTTCTTTTTGTTGTTGTTTTCAAGTAATTTTCTAGCCCTCTTGGTTACTGCTGAAGCTTGAAAACATGAACTCTAAAGACTCAAAAACAGATGTCAAATAAAACAAATCCCTCTTTTTTATTTCTGAAAATAATATAGGCTTGATATTGCAGTTTGATCTGTGGGGGTGTCTGACTTCTGCATGTGACATCAGTGGGTGCTACGCAGCACAGGGTTCATTCCCCAGGGCACCTTCCCCCCCACCCCCCACGCGCACACACACACATAATGTATCTAGTAACTTTACACAAAACCAATAAAGCCTTAATATTTTTGAATTAGTTGAAAATAAATTATTTTTCATCTCTTGATATATAAAACTAAGAGATAAATCAAATGAACGTTACATGTATGTACCTTTCATTCTGGAAGATCCAAAACTTTACTAGCCATTTATAAACTTTATAGAGCAGTGATCTCCAACCTTTTTACGCCCAAGATCACTTTTTGAATTTAAGGGCAACCCAGGATCTACCCCGTCCCTTCCCCGAGGCCCCGTCCCTTCCCAAAGCCCCGCCCTGCTCACTCCATCCCCCCCTCTCTCCGTTGCTTGCTCTCCCCCACCCTCACTCACTTTCACTGGGCTGGGGCAGGGGATTGGGATTGGGGAGTGCAGGCTCTGGGCTGGGGCTGAGGGGTTTGCAGTGTGAGAGGGGGCTCCGGGCTGAGCCTGGGGCAGGAGTTGGGGTGCAGGAGGAGGTGAGGAGTGCACGGTCTGGGAGGGAGTTTGGGTGAAGGAGGGGGCTCCAGACTGGGGCAGAGTGTTGGGGTATAGGAGGGGGTATGGGGTGCTGGCTCTGGAAGGGGGCTCAGGGCTGGGGCACAGGCTTAGGGTGCAGGAGGGGGTTCGGGGTGCTGGCTGCAGGAGGAGAGTTGGGCTGCTGGCTCCTGCCGGGAGGCACTTACCTCAGGTAGCTCCCGGTTGGCAGCACAGTGGGACTAAGACAGGCTCGCTGCTCCCCACACTGCTGCCCCGGCCCCACACTGCTCCCAGAAGGGAGCAATGCGCCCCTGTGGCCCCTGGGGCACGTAGCTCTGCGCGCTGCCCCTCCCTGCAGGCACTGCCCCCGCAGCCATTTGGCCACAGTTCCCCGTTCCCAGCCAATGGGAGCTGCGGGGGCAGTGCTTGCAGGCAGGAGCAGCACAAAGAGATCCCTGCCCCCCCCTCCCCCCGAGCTGTGTGGGCGTGCTGGCCCCTTCCGGGAGCGGCGTGGGGCTGGGGCAGGCACGTGTATGGTTAGGGTTTTTAAACACCCGTGGTAGGTCCCACAAGATTAGACAGTCTGACTGTTCTGAGAAATCTGTATACCTGAGGGTCCTCTGTCAAGGAACCAGAAGATCCCGCAAATAGGATGCTATTTATAACTAATACCTGCTGATACAGTACAAGACTGAAGTCCCTTGTCTATGCCTTTCTGACGAAAGTCCAAAATAACTGGAATGCCAGGTTTCTTGGAATTTTTGTTGTGTTCTTGACACCAAGTTCTCCAAATGGAGAGGTAGGCCTTTAGTGTTGAAGCTCGCCTGGAGGAGAGGAGAGTTCCAGTCACTTTGTGGGACAGTCCCAATGCAGTTAACATTTCTGTCAATAGCCAGGCTGTCAGTTGTAGACGATCTGGGTCCAGAAGGAGGAATGGCCCTTGTAAAGTGTTTGGACTGACTGATAGCTGCAAAGGTGGTTCCAATTTCAGTTTTATCAGATTGGAGAACCATGGTCTCCTTGGCCCGCATGGGACTAGCACTGTCACCTTTGCGTCTTCTTGCTTGATCTTCTGCATCACCTTTCCTAGACGCAGAAAGGGTCAGAATGCAGATGGCCATTGTGGCAATCTGTGTGCCAGAGAATCTGTTCCCAGGAATTTCAGGTCTGTTTCCCTGGTGAAGGACTTCAGCCACTTTTTGTTCTTGCAATTGGAAACAGGTCAACTGCTGGGAAGCCAAACTTCGGTGAAATCAGAGTGAAGGCTTTCTGCTTCAGGCAACATTCTGAGTTGTTCACTATGTATCTGCTGAGCCAGTCTTTTGGTTGAGCTCTCCTTTTATGTGCACTTCTCTTACAAAAGAAAGAGTCCTCTCTTCCCACTCCATTATCTCTTCCACATCTGCATGTAGAATTACACTCCTTCTTACCCTTGGTTGTTGATATACACCACAGTGGCTTAGCTGTCTGACTGAACCAGAATACATTCTCCCTCTAGGTAGTTCTGGAACCTTTGTTCAGATAACTTGACAGCTCTGACCTCCAACAGATTGATGCTCAGGCTCTTTTCCTTGGATTTCCAGATGCCTTGCACATTCCTGTGCTCAATATGCACTCCCCATCCCATTAGGCTGGCATCAACTGCGAGTACCTGTGGCTCTAGCAGGCATATGGGAAGACCCTTGCAGACATTTTATGGGATTGTCCATCATGTTAAAGAGTTCAAAACCAGTACCCAATCCTGCAAGTGTTCTGGTGAATGGTTCCATATGTAACCCTTCTGCCTGTCAGAGCTGGCAGCAACAAGGGCTGGGTTCAGTATCTAGGGGTTCAATAAGACAATGCAAAACCGGCTTGAGCCCCCACCCAGTGACCTGGGACAATTACATACCACTCCCCGGGCACCTCTAAGAGGCAATACTTCCCCTCTCGCAAGCACAGAGTCTGAGTGTAGCAAAAACCTTTTAATAAAGGAGGGAAACATTGCGGCACTATGTTGGGGAAACATCACAAACAGGAGAACACAAACTATGAGCAAAAGACCCACCCCCAAGTAAGTTTGTCAGTGTCCTTTTCCCCTCAGGGTCTTAAGTCCAGCAACCCAACAGTCACCCCGACCCACAGTTTCTGTCCTTGGTCAGTGCAGCCCCCAGAGTTCAGAAGTTCATCTGCAGAGTTTACCTCCCAGCCTGGATGGAAGTGGGTGGAGGTAAGGAGGCAGCTCACATGCTCTGCGGCTTGGGTCGACGGCCGATTGCCACGCCTCTCCGCGGGGTTCTGCTACAGTCTTCACCGCCAGCTGACCTGCTGGCCCCTCCTCTCCGCTAGCCGTCCTACTAGCCATGCCTCTCTGCCCCTCTCCGCTAGCCGCTCCTCTCTGCCAGCCATCCTGCTAGCCGCTCAGCAATATGTCTTCAGCCCCCCGGCATTTAACACAGCTCTTAGTAACTTTAGCTCTTTAGTGATTTCAGCTATTAGTAGGGGGGTCCCAATGCTGGCACACTCAGAACCACATGCTTAGACCTAGGAATCAGTGATTTCAGCTCTGCAGCATGTAACAAGACTCCTAATGGAGTCAAAATTAGCTCTGTTATTACACAGTGGAGAGAGGAAGGGTAAAAGTGGTGTTTGGGACCCTCAGAAGGGGCCCACACTACCAGGTACAAGTACCTGTCCCCAGCCTCTCTCAATTCACTGGGTTTTGGAACCCATGTCCCTTGCCTAGCGAGTGCTACTTAGTTGAGGGCGAGTCCCTCGATCATAAAATACCAAGTACAGTTCTACTGTCCTTGATTCACATAACCAGGATAACCGCCCTTTATTACTCCTGCCCCAATAACAAAGAGACTGGGGATCCCAGAGCAGCCAAAGTGACCATTTGGGCAAGCAGTCCATCATGCTAGGCAGTCCCATGCAAACGAGATCAGCCCCTGAAGTCCTTTTCCACAGCTCACCACCAGATGTCGGGGAGAGGTCATTCTGATTCTGCTTACACATACTTTCAGGAGAAAGGCCTAAAGACACCTGATATGGGACCTCACCCATGGGGTGAGTCCTATAGACAAAACCAGGAGGCTCAGTAGCAATAGACATTGAGCTAGGGTCAGCCTCGCAAACTCTACCAACATGGATATTAGGTTCTGGATCTTGTGGAGTACAACCGGTGATGGATAGACCATTGCAACACGTGTCTATTTCCACTGCCACATGAACGGTCTTTGTTAAGTGAGTCAAAGAGCACTTCTTGGCATTTATCACAAATCCATGTGCTTGAAGCAGATCCAGCATCCTGATTGTGGCACGGCATGACGCTGCCTGGGTCAGAGCACTGATCAAGATGTCATCCAGGAAGAGATACACATCTGAGTCTGGCTGTTGTTGCCACCAGAAACTTGGTAAAGACCTTGAGGAACAACAAAAGGTGTTTGGTACTGATAGTGGAACGTGCCTATCAATGCAAGGACTGGCTGGCTGAGAACAGGCAGGGCACAATTCACTCTCTGAAGAGCCCGTAAAAGCTGTTTCACAGATAGAGCACCACTTGAATTCATGTTGGTGTTTCTGCAACAGCTCTTCCAGGGGCTGGAGGACTGTGGGGGTAGCAGAAGAGTCTGGTAAGTAGGCACTGCAGTGCTGGCTCCATACCCCGCTACCTGATACCCAATCCAAGACAGGGAGAAGAAGAAAGAAAGGCTGCTCACTACTGTAACACATACTATTTCAACCATTTTGTGTGTAAGATGGAAAAGAAAAGTCAGGAGCAAAGTGAACTGCCACTTTGCTGCTGAAGAGGCAGAAGATCTGGCAACAAGCCGGCAAAGGGGTGTGCTACAGTTTTGAACTGACTCTGGAAACTGCAGACAGGAATGGAGTAGCCCATATGTATCAGAATTGTGGAGAGACACTGAACTGCAGAAATTATTATGACTCTGGCACCTAATCACCATTCACCTTTCACATCAACAATAATATTGCAAAAGTTGTATATTTGCTGCCAAAGTCATAAAGAAAACTGAAGTCGTGATTTAATAGAGCTGTTGGTCAACTACTTAGATCAGTGTTTCTCAAACTGGGGCCGCCGCTTGTGTAGGGAAAGCCCCTGGCGGGCCGGGCCGGTTTGTTTACCTGCCCTGTCCGCAGGTCCAGCTGATCGCGGCTCCCACTGGCCGCGATTCGCAGCTGCAGGCCAATGGAAGCTGCTGGAAGCGGCGGCCAGTACATCCCTCAGCCCGCGCCACTATCTAGCTATCTATATATATAAAATCATGTAAATTATTAAAATTCCAAATACTAGTGACATTTTGAAACAGGTGGATAGCAGTATTCTTTCCACTAATATATCTAAAATACATTTTAAGAATAGCAATATTCTAATAGAAATATTTTAATAATTAACAAAACATAATGCAGAAACTTACATACTTGAAATTATAGCTTTTGTATACTGCTATACAACTTACATAGTGGAAATGCAGTTTGTGCCTCACCATTCAACCCGACACATTGTTACAACACGTGCTTATGTAGTTACAACATACATGGAGTGAAATCCTGGCTTCACTGCAAAACTCCCATTGGCAAAACTCCCACTGACCTTAAAGGGGCAGGATTTCACTCATAATATTTATATGCTGTTTGCAGGCCAAATATCAGGCCAAAACTCCATCATTTTCATAAAATTGTAACAAACAAGAAAAAGATTAAAAAGGCAGAGGAGACTATTATGATGCCCTTTTTCAGACTATACAGGAACAATGCTCCACAAATAATGTTAATGTTTTTTTAAACTTGACAGGTTCCACTCACAGAACCCAATAGTCTTTAATACAGCTTCATCTATTTTATTACAAGTATGAATTATTATTTCTGTCACTGTTCTATGTAGAAAAAAAAAAACAAGGAGATTTTTAGCTCTCTGGAATACATGAATCCAATGTCACTGAAAGGCTCTGAACTGGGGGTTTACTATAGGATTTACACCAACCTGTCACCAGGCTCCATTTCGCATTCTCTGGCTCATTTAGGCATTGAAAGATGGACCTCCAGTGTCTGAGGCCTCTTTAAAGAGTTTCAATGCCATTGTCCCTTCTCTCACTTCTTTTACACACACAAACACATCCTCCTTACATCCCCAGTGCCCTCTGCCACCCCACTACCTCACCCCCCACCAGCACCCTTTTCTCTCTCGGAGGTCACATGCATCCCCAGTGCAAACTGCCACCCCACTACTAAACCACTGCCAGCACCCTCCTCTCGCCACCAGGGTCACATCCCCAGTACCTCCTGCCATCCCGCTACTCCACCCCTTTCTACTAAGCCCCTCCTCTCTCCAGGGTCAATCCTCAGAAGCCTCTGCCATCCCACTACTTCACCCCCTGACGGTCCCCACCCCCTCCTAAGCCACTCCCCAGCACCTCCTGCTATCCCACTAGTCCATCCCCTGGCAAGCCCCCCCCCCTCCAGTGTCACATCCCCAGCACCCCCTGACATCCCACTACTTCAACCACAGCCAGCACCCCTCCTCTCTGCCAGGGTCACATCCCCAGTATCTCCTGCCATCCCACTACTCCGCCCCCTTGCTACCACCCCCGTCCTCTCTGCAGGGTCACTCCTCAGCACCCACTGCCATCCCACTACTTCACCTCTGCCAACATCCCCCGTCACTCCCCACCACCCCCGCCACTCCACTACTTCAGCTCTGCCAGCCCTCCTGTCACTCCCCAGCACCCCCAGCCATCCCACTACTTCAGCTCTGCCAGCCCCCTATCACTCCCCAGCACCCCCGCCACCGCACTAGTTCACCTCTGCCAGCATCCCCCGTCACTCCCCACCACCCCACTACTTCAGCTCTGCCAGCCCTCTTGTCACTCCCCAGCAATCCCACTACTTCAGCTCTGCCAGCCCGCCATCACTCCCCAGCGCCCCCGCCACCCCACTACTTCACCTCTGCCAGCCTCCCCGTCACTCCCCAGCGCCCCCACCACCCCACTACTTCACCTCTGCCAGCCTCCCCGTCACTCCCCAGCACCCCCAGCCATCCCACTACTTCACCTCTGCCAGCCTTCCCCGTCA